TCAGAATGAACCCAGTCCAAGATCCTTTACCTGTGAGCGTCTCCATAACAAAGGCCCCTCCTCTTCCCTAGCAAACCTACATTTCCCCATTTCCACATTTCCAGTGTCTCCCCAAGTCTTACTCTCTGCTCAAAACAGTTTCCTTGGTCAGATCTCACAACTATGCCACTTTCATTTCTGCTACTGTGACTACTCACAGTTCTCCCCTTTCTTGGTTTTTCCTCTCCTATAAATGCCATCCAAAGTAGACAAATTCATACTTCAAAGCTCCTTCACGCCTCACTCCTACTCCAAGAAGTCTTGACTGACTTTGCCGATCCTGAGGCCGATAACAGTATTTGAGTTTCAGACACACAGTTTATAGCTCTTCATCATACAGGCACATACCTCATAGCTACCTGGCTCTCACGTTAATACTATCTCCCCAAATAGATAACCAACTTCCTAATGGCTTCCTCATATTTCTGGCTTCTCCACAATTCGACTACATGACCATACGCAAATTAAATCCTCATTACATACCCTTTAGCTGTGTTAATAAAAATGATGCGTATAGTATCTGAATTTATCCAAACTCCTTAGAAGTGAGGTTCTATTTTAATGGCTTTCCATTAATTGCACATCACTTTAAACCTGTTTAACTGCACCCAAAAAGCTTTATGAGTTATTTCCTAATATTCAGGAATTTAAGAATATGAAAAATGTTAATTCTTACTAAGTCTCACCGTTTAAAGATTAAAAGGCCAATAATAAATTAAAAGACTAATGCTGATGAGGATATAGAAAAATAATACAATCATACCCTGCTGGATTATAAATGTTAGGCATAAGGTTTCTGAAGCAACTACTGAAACAAAAGCTGAATATCAAAATATTAAGTACTTGTACTGACTTCACAGTGGCATTATACTTCATAAATATGCTCAAAAATGCTCAGCAGCTAGGTATTCAGAAGCACATATGCAAAAATTCTAATAGCAGCAATGTTTTTAAAACTGCAAGAATAATGACCGACCATGCTGGGTACTAAAATACTTTCAAATAAATAAAAAACAAAATGTCCACCAACAGAATACTGGTTAAGTGATGGTACATCTACAAGATAACAAGATCTATTTAACCCACAAATCTATAATGTATTTCCAAGAAACACTGTTAAGAAAGATCATCATGATGCAGAACTCCAGGAGGTGCTATTGGCAGAGGATACAAGTAAAACAGTATCCTCTCTCACTAGAAACGTGGCACAGTGGTTCTGCAGTTGGAAAAAGCTCTTTTAATGAACAGGAAGAGACAGAAGATGACAACATATGCAGAAAAACAGTTTACTACTGCTACAACTCCAGCTGGGTAATATAGGACGTTATGAGGGACCTTCCCTTTCTGTTATATTTCCATGATGCTGGAATTTTCAATTACTAGCATAAATCACTTTTGCAATCTGAAAAGCACAATGAGTAAGTTTTAAGGAATTAAAGGCTCAAAATACTCTGAAGGTATTTCACAAAATACCAAACAGCTAGATGTATCAACATACAATGAATGTAAGAGCCAGTCACAAAAGAATATAAATCATCACATAAATTTCAAAAGCAAATCAAACATTACTTTTTTAAAATACATACATGGTAAAACAAGCAAAGGAGAGGAATATAAATTCAGAATAGTGATTTAACTCAGAAAAGGCAAGGAGATGGCTTGAAGATACTGGCAATGTTCCTTTTTAAAAAACTAGGCAGTGGGGGGGTGGGAGGAACACGGGGTGGGACTCTTGATCTCAGCTCAAACAAAACAAACACAAAAAACAAAAGTAGGTAGTGGTTTCACAAGTGTTCATTTCACTGATTTTTTTTACACCTTAATGCTTTATATATATTCTTTTGTACAGACTAAATAAAGACAAATTTCTTAAACAGAAAATTCCCAAAGGATTTCATCTTCAAAAGTTCTCTTTAAAAAGAAAAGAAGGAAAAAGACAACTGAAAAGAAGAGAAAAAGACAACCTGTGAAAGCAAATCATAATAGCTATTTAAGGAAGAACAGAGAGTTCTGTTAGTTTTTGAATTATGGGGTTATCCATTTGTTAGAGTAAAACCTTAGTCACAGAGAACTTCATTTAGTATTGTGTACACTCTTGTTTTTCAGAACGCCATAGTTGGCCATTTTAAAGGCTAAAATATTTTTACTATAACCATTTTGAATAGAAATAACTCCAAACTACAAAACTATGTTACAATGTATCTCCTTAAACAGAATATATACATCATGGTTGTTTCTTGGGTTCTTTTTAAGCATCAAATCGTGGGCCATGCTGTAACAGCAACTCCCTCACTACTAAGGGCTATCAGTTTCAATATACCAAGAGGTTTGGGAATAACATTTTTTGACCTCTTGTATCTATTTTTGCTAGCCCGGCCCCTCTAGTCTCTCTCACGTTGTCAATTCATTCCTACTTAACAATATGTTGATGGTTTAGAAATCATCTAATCAACTGTATATAAAATCAAGTATACACAGACTGGATTGCAGATGTTAAGAATTTGTGCTTTGAAATATGGATTTGATATCTCTTTGGCCTCCTGAGGATTTTTAATTCTCAATCCCCAAATGTAAACAGGTTTCTCGATAGCAGGATTCCAAACAAATGAACTTCCGCAGAATTTCTATTTTTATGTATATTTTCAAATTATAAAACAATTAATAAAAATTAAGGAAGCTTCTGAATGTCCTTAGACACTGCAACAATTAAAGTTTTCAATTAAAGGTCATTACTGGAAATGATTAATTTTTTCCACTTTCATTTGGCAAACTATATGTTGATGTGGATTTTCTAACTTTCTACCTCCAAGTCTAAAAGAGCATTTCTTAGATCACTGTTTTATCAATATGACATAACAAGATTACATACATTAAGAAAATTCTTTTTTTCCTCCTTAGGGAAGGCAAGATAAGGAAATGTTTATTGTTTTAAAACAAGAATCAGTCTATAAATTCATAAAAACAATGATAGGCAGGACTCTTGAAAAACATACGCATAGATAGTTTTTAGCTCAGGGGTAAAAGTTATTTCATAAACCTTAAGGTTACATGTTATCTCTTACATTCTAATTTAAACTATGAGCAAAAGGCAGGTTTTTCTTAGCCACTCTTCAACACAAAATACCTCTGGCATTATTTTATCTAAGTGAAATGAGATAGGAAAATTTTATCTTAGCAAACTTATAAAACGCCTACTACTCTCCTTTAACCTTGTGGAGGTAGTGAAAGAGAAACTCTATGAAATAGAGAAAAGCAGAAAACTCCAGTTTCTATCTTTGAACTAAGCAGAGAAATCCGGAAAGAAAATCACAAAGCCTCTCCAGAGTTCACCCCTTGGTGCACCACTGATGCTAAAGAATAGATAGGACACATGCCTGCATCTTCTTTCCAGGCACACAATCAGGTCTCTTTCAGTCCCTTTCACTGTAACTACAACCCCACCGCCCTCTTACATCTTCCCCAGCCTCATCTTAGCCATATTCCTGAGGAGTCCCATTAGGTAGGAGCACCTAAGCATATTACCAGTCTGAATCTTTCTCAAAATACATACAAAAAAAAAAAAAAAAATTGCAGTAACTGCTGAGAAAAAAAAATGGAAATGAGCCATGATATGCTCCACTGGTATAAACCAAAAACCATGACAAAGATGGAAATAAAATAAATTATGGAACCATTTTAACCAAATAAATGAACCTGTTTAAAAAAACAGGTGAATCTTTTTTCTAAATCTCTGTAAAAGCAAAAAAGAAAGGCAACTGGGTAATAAACATTTAAAAATGTTTGCTCCGGTTATTAATTCTAAAAATAAAAAATCTAAACAAGACACAAGCTTTCACCTGCCAAAATCACCAAGATTTGTTTTTAATAACACCTAATAAAGGCAGGAATAAAGGCCATAAGAGACACTCTGTCACTTTGTGTAATGCAAACTGGCACAGCTCTTCTGGAAACTAATTTAGCAACATGTTATCAAGAGTCTAAAATTAAAATGTTCTTACTCTTTGAAGCAATAATTCTACTCAAAGAACTTTGTACAAATAATAAAAGGTGAACACAATCCTTACTTCATAATGAATGTAATGAATGTAATGCATTACTCTACCTGCCTGGCTAAGTATTGCTAAATTAAAACATTTAAAGCAAGGAGGAAGGGGCTGAGAAAAGCACAGCCACCATGACCTGCCATCAATCAGGCCATACTGACTCCATTAACCAGTCCTACGCCTCAAAATTTCCTTCTGGCTCAACCAAGATATACAGCAGCATAATCTTCTACAAAAGGAAAAAAGCACACTGGTACATATTTAAGAGAGTTCCCAAATGACTTGAAATAAAAAGAGTTTTCCCAGAATGAGGGGGGAAAAAAAAATCTCCAAAATTAACTACGAAATGCCATTTCCTAAACAATTTATTTTATCAAAAAATCCAAATACCTCTGTAAATAATTTCATTAGGCAATAAGAAATCATACCATTATAACAAAGAAGCCATCATGTAGGTAAGAATTTGTTAAAGTCCCACGTATCATTTTTTAGTAATGATAAAATTAAACTTTCTGAGCAGTCGATGGATATTAAAAAAGCTAAACACAAGTGTCAAACTCCATGTGCCGAATTAAGTATAAAAGGTGTATTTCTTACGAAAGCAGTTTAAACACTATGTTAAATGGAAACTAAATATCTGTAAAAATACCAAAACACAAATTACACACAAGCAATATCTGTACCTGTTCCTACACACAAAGATGTAATTTGAGTTCTAAGCTATAAAAATGTAGGTATGATGAATTAGCGTTTCTATACTAGATTTCAGTCATGGTTGCCAATATTTTTTATCTGGCATTTACTTGCCATTAATGTTTCCATTTTATAGTATTAACAGCAAATCGTTAATCACTAGTTGAAGGCCTCTTGCCTTAGTTATTCCCTCATCTGGAAGGAACTAATTTCTCTAACACTTACCTAAACTCGTGGGCTTGATGAGAACATCAAGGACATCATAAAAGGGCAAGTTTTTTAACTGCACATCAGGATGGACAGGAGGGATTGGGGGAGATGGCTGCTGCATCTCAAACGTGGGCTTCGTATCTTGAAGCAGCACAGAACCCACAGGAGAGGACGGTGAGTGCGGTGTAACCGAGGTGGAAGGCAGCGCGTGGATTCCAGCCACGGCCAAGTCAGGTTCTACAGGTGATGAGCTACCATCCAAATTGAAAACCGAAGATTTGATGGTGGATAAATCAGAGAGTCCTTCCAGAGTCCGTGGGTACCGGCGTCTGTACAATTCTCGGATTTTGATCTGAACCGCAGGGCTGCAGCCGCTCTTCAGTAAATGCAACGCCCTCATCAGGAGGTCATGCTTGCGTCCACTTTTATTCCGTCCAGCAAAGCCTAGTAACACTTGCAGCTCAGAAACCCTAAAGCTAGAAACCATATTCTAAAGGAGGGGGGGAAAAAAGGACATAAACCAAGAGTCACTGTCAAGCATATAAAAACCCCATCTAAAATATACCATAAAATCCGATTTTACCAGCATTTTATCACCTGGTATATGCTAGGAGCCAGCATTTTCACATACCACTTAAGACTGATCCTATTTATAGAGCCACTGCCCACCCAAGTTAAATTCAAGTTATGGCATTAATCATGGTCTGCTGTATTAATCTTGATAATCTATGGCCTATCAGTTTCTACTAACCACCTCACTATCTGATGATGCTGAAGTGTAAACCTGTATTTGCTTTATGACTATGAAATTTATAACCGATGAAAGTTTCCTTTTCATCCTATCAACACACAATGTAATGTCTGCTACAGTATCATCATAAATAAACCTAACAAAAAATTAGACTTTTGCAAAATTATATGCATAACTTCCAATGCTAAATAGTAAATCTATAAAATCAAGAAAAATTGTGATCCAAAAATCCAGTGAATTTTTCACCCCAACTCAAATTATTAAGGAACAGACAATGCATGGTCATTACACTTCAAATCACTTCATTTCCTCCATGTGTTAAAATGAAGATTTTATCTATCTTACCCCAATACTATGGACAACAAACATGAAAAACAAAATTCTTGGCCTATGTCAAGATGTTACAGATTACTCACGGTTTCATGCATAAAAGGGACTATGACAGCTTTCTCAAGTGTCCTGCCAAGCAAGAACACAACGCACCTTTCCCAGAGTCCCCAATCCTAACTCTTAAGTTGAAGTTGGCTTACACTATAGTAGCGTAAGCAACATTAAAACATGAGAACACTAACAAGGGCAGTCATACAGACAGAATACATCCGGGACAGTTTCTAAAGAAATCTAACTCAGAATTCATTGCTTTGCTTCCCTCCTTCTACTTATTTTCACATTACTCTTTGCTTTAAGGAAACTTGTTTTACAGAAATGACGAAAAAGAACACAAAGTCACCCTAAGCTTGGCTCTCAAAATGGGATTTCTGGGAGGTCTCATATCACTTATTTCCAATCATAAATTTGGCAAAGGATGCTAATGCAACTGGCTCTATTAGTTGCTGTAAATATACAAACAAAAAGGAAGAAAGAGATAAGGGCTCACAACATGAATGCAGAATCAGGACATTCTGAAGCAAAAAGAAATCCCCCTTAACTCAGTCTTCAACCAAATTTCAGCTGTCACCAGGTAAGGTGAGCCTGCTGTGAAAACTACCAAGAAGGGATTTCAGCTACTGTTCTCCACCAACCTCCAGTGTCTATATCTTTAGTATAAATTTTAATATAATTTTTTCCAAGTGGACTTTATCTAGTCCATTCTGCTGCCTCCCAAAGTGTGTCTTCTAATACTTCAGTGACAACTGCTTTACGCTCTACACAAAAGAATTTCTCAATAAATGCTTGCTAACTGTTTTTAAGGAAATTCTATGAACCAGAGAGAAATATGTTGGTTGGCAGGACTGATTTTTAGAAAAATATATAAACAGGGGAACCCGGGTGACTCAGTTGGTTAAGCAACTGCCTTCGTCTCTGGTCATGTTCCCAGGGTCCTGGGATCGAGCCCCACATCAGGCTCCCTGCTCGGTGGGGAGCCTGCTTCTCCCTCTCCCTCTGTTGCTCTGCCTGCTTGTGCTCTCTCGCTCTCTGCCTATAAATAAATAAAAATCTTAAAAGAAAAAGATACATAAACAAAATTTTAAAAATATCTAAACAAAAAATACAAATTAAGACCAGGACTTTAGGACGCCTGGGTGGCTCAGTCAGTTAAGTATTCACCTTCGGTTCAGGTCATGATCCCAGAGTCCTGGGATCAGGTCCCACATTGGGCCCCCTACTCAGCAGGGAGTCTGCTTCTCCCTCTGCTCCCACGAGTGCCCGCATGTGCACTCTCAAGCTCTCGTGCTCCTGCACGCACTCTCTCTCTCTCTCTCTTGCAGAAATAAGTAAAATCTTAAAAAAAAAAAAAAGTTAAAAAAAAAAGACTAGGACTTTAAATCAACCTTGTTTCTTTAAAGTAACAACACTATTTAAAAAATTAAAGCTGAGTCATCATATAATTGGAACATCACATACAAGAGTGAAGGCAAGCTGAAGGTGCTACATTTAGAAAACCTCATTAAGGAAGTAAATATGATAGTTATATGCAATAACCAATGAGTAAAAAGATTTCCTTGAGACTACTCTTCAACTCTTACATATGAGATGGAAACTGCACAAGCAGTCCAGAATTTTGGGAAGTTCTAATAGGTCAGAAGTCACGGTAAAGATCAACACAAACTTTGTAAAAAGATATTCCATCTGCTAGGATGTATAATAGGAGGAAGAGAACGGAACTGCTGAGGGAAATTGACAGATCACATTTATATTAACACTGCCTATCCCAACTACAATATTAAAACAATTTACATCTTCATTTATAAGTAGTTTTTGAATTCCCAATGACACAGATGGTTCTAGATCCAGAGTATTCCGCTAAGTGAAATAAGTCAGTCTGAGAAAGACAAATTCCGTATGACTTCTGTCATATGTGGAATTTAAGACACAAAACAAACAAGCAAAAGGGGAAGAAAAGAGAGATAGAGGCAAACCAAGAAAGACTCTTAACTACAGAGAACAAACTGATAGTTACCAAAAGGGGGATAAGTGGAAGGATGAGTTAAAAAAGTGATAGGGATAAACAAGTGGACTTATGATGAGCACCAGGGGTCATATGAAAATGCTGAATCACTAAACTGTACACCTGAAACTAATATTACACTGTATGGTAACTAACTAGAATTTAAATAAAAACTTTAAAAAAATTAGGCAGAAAATTTCTCAAATAAAGACATATAGATGGCCAATAGAGACATGAAACGATGCTTAATATCACTACTCATCATGGAAATGCAAATCAAAACCACACTGAGCTATCACCTCATACCTGTTAGAGTGGCCACTCCAAAAGACAACAAAAGTTGATAAGGATGGAGAGAAGTGGGAAAACTGTTGTGCACTGTTGGTGGCAGTGTAAATGGGTATAGCCACAACAGAAAACAGTATGGAGGTTCCTCAAAAAATTAAAAATAGAACTACCAAAAATCCACCAATTCCACTTGTTGGTATTTACCTGAAGAAAATGAAAACGCTAACCCAAATATGCACTCCTGCCAAGCTCATTGTATCATTATTCAAATATGATAGCCAAGATACAGAAACAACCTAAGTCTCCATAAATGGAAAAATGAGTAACAAGCTGTGTGTATATACACACACCCCTCACAGCTGTATATCTACAGCAGCTTCTATACACATATACAATGGAATATTACTCAGCCATACAAAAGGATGAAATCTTGCCATTTTATGACAACATGGATGGACCCTGAGGGCATTATGCTAAGTGAAATAATTCAGACAGAAGAGGGCAAATACCATAGGATCTCACTTACATGTGGAATCTAAAAACAGAACAAAAACAAGAACACCAAGCTCACAGATACAGAAAACAGACTGGTGGTTCTGATGGGGCGGTGTGGGGGAAAATGGGTGAAGGGGATCAAAAGGTACCAACTTTCAGTTATAAAACAAATATGTTATGGGGATATAATGTTCAGCATAATGAGCACAGTTAATAAGCGCATATTGTTGGTGGCTCAATCAGTTAAGCACCAACTCTTGATTTCAGTTCAGGTCCTGATCTCAGGGTCATGAGTTCAAGCTCACTCCATGCCCAATTTTAAAAAAATTGTATATCTGAAAGTTGCTAAGGGAGATCTCAAAAGTCCTCATCACACACAAAAAAATATTTTTGGTAACTATAAGGTGATAAATCTCTACTAGATTTATTGTGGTAATCATTTTGCAATGCATACACCTGAAACCAATATAATGTTATACATCAATATACCTTGATTAAGCAAATAATAAAAAATATTACCTGAAACTTGAAAAAAATTATTGGAGGAAATGAGTGGAGACGCCAAAAACAAACAAACAAAAAACTTGGTACAGGGTACAAGGGGAATTCTCTACCTTTGTAAGATGTTTCCACAATAAAAAGTTTGTTTGAATGGGGGAAACTAGTTGTGGGTTATACAACAACTCTCTATACTATCTTCCCAACTTTTCCATAAATCTGAAAGTATTCTAGATTTAATTAAGTAAAAATTGTTTGTTTGAGGCAGGGAAAAACAGACTATGGTCTAAATACCATTTCCCACAAAAGGAACCTAGGCTCCTTGAGGAAATAGCTAATTGCAAGTCTGGGGTAGAAAATGCACATGATGAGCCTAGAACATTTGATCACACCAGAAAGCAAAGAAGTTATCAAAGACTACCGGCATCTTGTCAGAAGGACACAGAAAACAATCCAGTAGCCCAAGACCTCAAAAAAAAAAAAAAAACCTCACTGATCTCTGTTAACAGGATGTTGAGAAACCAACTCGTTATTCTGAAAATTGTTAAAATAAGGAAAGCAATACAAAAAGATTTATTGGCTCAAAAAATGCCATATGGTTAATCTGCATAAATGCCAAAAGGGCATTTGCAAAAGTCCTAACCATTACTGATAAAACCTCTCAATAAACAGGAACAGAATGAAACTCTGTTAACATGAGAGACGATAGCTATCAGAAACCAAGAACAAATACCATCTTTAAAGATCAAACACTCACTAGAAATAAAGACCCATAAAAGATGTTTTCTCATTTAAAATTATTCTAAGGTTTCTACACAATACAGATTTTTAAAGAAGCAATATTAATAATTTACAAATGACAGAACTTTCTATACTGAAAATATTTATTACCCACTGAAAAATAAGACCTAAAACTAACTTAAGAAATTCACTGAGTTATCTACACATCGAACAGATTTTCGAGTGACTCATCAGGAAAAACAGTATTTAAAAATGAGTCTAATAACAAAATCTAAAATACAAAGGCATAAATTTAAAAATTTTCCAATAGCTACATAAAAACAAGACA